CTGGGCCCAGACGTTTAAATACAATGTGGTCGGTAAAGTTGACATGTATATATCACATATATCTGTGTTCCAATGATTAAGATATGTTGATGTTAATGTCAGTCAGGTGACTCCATGTTAAGAAGTTATTGCTTTGCTCCATGTGTTAATTGAGGCTCACCAGCCGTGGTATTGTGTTAGCCTTTGTGAGGCAGGTTTATGGCTGTGTTGTGAGTTGTATCTGCTATTGTCAGGGCTCTACACAAATGAACAGTGTCTTAATCCTGGAGGTGGCGGTAGTCACAGTTCTATCTACACTTTCTCAGTAAAATAGGTCCCATGAAAATCCGGGGTAGAATAGGTCTTCAGCAACCCATGCTTGCCGTAAAGACAACTTGCTTGTCGTAAGAGGCGACTGACGGGATCGGGTGGTCAGGCTTGCGGACCTGGTTGATGCATGTCATCGTATCCCAATTGCATGGATCGATGCTCATGATGTCAATCACTGGAGTGTCTTGTCCTGACTTGATTATTTACAGACCACCATCATATAGCTGGAATATTGCTGAGTGCGGCGTTAAACATCAAACAAACAAACCAAATCAGTAAAATAGAAGTATGATGTATATGTATCTAATAGCATGGTGTAGGTTCACTAGTATGGTAGTCTTTGTCAAAAGATGTTTTGTGTGCTAGCCATGCCAACCCTAACAATTTTGTCTTTCAAAGACTTTTTCATGGGGTATATAATCTTAACATATGAATTATTTTTAGCTGAACATACTATCCCAAAATAGATGTAACTTGACCTGGGCTTTAAACTAGTGTCTAAAGTGACAGACTGGTATGGGAAATTTACAACTACTACACAAAGTTATTGCTTCCTAGTTCTGTGGAATATTGAAGGATCGTGCTTAGGATTAGATTTCAAATACCTGGTATTTCCAGCAGTGAGAAACTGTACAGGTGTGTCATCTTTGGCCAGGTAAACAGACTGTTGTGGTGTCCACTTGTGCAGTGATTGAAGTAGGCATGAACTCGATAGTAGGTGAATAGAGGGTCACGTGGTTCTAAGTATACATACCTTGGAGTCATCTTTAGCTCGCTAGAGACAAACAGGTAGGAAAACAAGGTAATAATGCTTCCATTTCGTACTGCAGTTACAATGAACACACAATGCAAATATTTATCTATCCAGCCTCTCTGCCAGCTGTAGGCCAAGCCTGCTATTGGGGGTAGCATCATCACTAGCATGTCCCAGAGTAGGGATGAAAGTGTTTATGTAGCAATGGCACGTCTATGTTTGAAGGCAGGACATGGTTGCACTAGGTGTACTTAAGGTGTCCCCAACGAGTGAGAGTTGTTTATTGCACAGTAAAACACTGCCGCGAGAATAACCATGAGGGTGCACTGGTTTATTTCCCCGCAGTGTTTTATTGTATGATAAACGACCATGAGGCATTTCTTATATCAATATTATGTATAGTCTCTTTAAGGATGTTAATAAAATGTACGAGCTTTCAAATATTTACCCGTATTTAAATAATGATGACTCCCTGAATAGAATCCGACCTCGGCAATGTCGGATAGTCCCTTTTATGAACAGGGGGGGTAAATTTGATCTGTCCTGCATATTTTCACAATATTCATGTGGATTATCTGTACCTTTTCTCCCAATACCGTTCATCTCTCCCACATCGTTCGACCATTGCATTTATATACATTGCCCAGTTACATCTATGGGGAACAACTCACTAGACACTTCCCTCTAAAAAATAATGTCGTCCAATATACAATGTCATCATGTTGCAAGCGCATTTTCGAATCTCCAAAAATGACGTCATGATAGAACAATGTTTTTTGTTGTGAAATTTACCATGCTTCTTTCTTAACTGTTTTTTGCAATTTATTGTGTAGCTATCTTATATAGTGTAATAAAGTATTTATAAGTTTTCCTCTGAACTGTATGTAAAAAACAACAGTGTAAATCAATGATGGAGTCAGCTGTCTCTGCATCACACCCACGCAGTGATGGGGTAGGTGGGATCAATTCCCGAACTCCACCTTGGGCGATGTGTGTCTGCAATTCAATGCATCATACACCCTGTTAACAATACAGAGAACCCATCCTAGGATGATATATTGATACTGCGGTTGTGATATGGCTGTATAACTACCAACAGAGTTAATTGTGTGCTGCATCAATGTGTGATTCCGAGGGGATTACCACTCTGTATGCTGGTAGTCCAGTGATGGAGTTTAAGCTGATTGATCACCATTTATCTCTTGACATAGACTTTGGTGTGTTTACAGTGTAAAATTAGCAGTTTAACCGAGGCTCAATATTCGACTAGGTAGTCCAGGTGGCATGTGAAGGATTTTGTTCGTTGTTTCAACGTCACACTTCGCAACATTCCGACCCGTGAAGATCCGGGGTAGAATAGGTCTTCAGCAACCAATGGTTGCAGTGAAAGGCGACTATGCTTGTCGTAAGAGGTGACTAACAGGATTGGGTGGTCAGACTCGCTGACTTGGTTGATGCATGTCATCGTATCCCAATGGCGTGGATCGATGCTCATGATGTCAATCACTGGATTGTCTGGTCCAGACTCGATTATTTACAGACTGCTGTCATATGACAGGAATATTGCTGAGTGCGGTGTTAAACAACAAACAAACAAACAAGCAAACAAACAAGCAAACTTAGCAACATTCCAGCGATACTACAGTGACCTAAAAATAATAAAGTCAAGACCATACAATCCAGTGATTTATGTCGTAAACAATGGTCCACCCTGTTTGGGAATGATGACACACTATCAACCAAGTCTACCTGATTCATTTTGTCGCCTGTTACAACAATCACATTCTTTGAAACCCTTTTCTTTTTATATTTAATATCTTCAGTATGTTAGAAATTCTATGGAATTAGCAATGCAAAATGAGTAAATCACCAGAATTACCAATTCAAAAACGCATTTGCATAAAACTATAAAAAAAAATAGAATGAAACCATTTTGATGTATATTTTTTATCATTCTTTAATTCAGTAGAATTACCAATAAAAAGAAAAAAATGAGATGAAGAAGTTATTTTATTAGGATAAAGACATTTTTGACATGGGAAAGAATTTTTTTTTTATAAATTGCATTTGTCAAATATGATAATGATCTCCAGAGACATTGTTCTGCATCCCGAGGAAGTTGTTAACAGTGATTTCATCAAGGTTAAATGATTGGATGTTGTCAGGCAGCTGGGTGGCACAACAGCACAGGCGTTGATTGCCACAATTCTGGTCTGACCTCCTGGTCTCTGCCAATGTAATGACATTACTCCCTGCTGTCTGGTTCCAAGTAGCCATATTAGTCATATTAAGTCAAAGATGAGCAAGATGAAGTTGTCACAAGCCATCACTTTCCAGTGTCTCTGTCACACAGCAGGGAAGCTGATATCTCCGTAGTGACGTCAGGCAGAACGTTGGCAGCTGATTTGGTGGAGAGTCTCACCAATGCTCAGTGTTCCCGTTTACTGGCAAATAAAGTATTTTTTTGTTGTTGAACAAAACATTGGCGATAAGTATATTTTTCGAACAAAGTCAGCTAGTTACCATCAGGGTTTCCCGTTGACTATTTGTAGTGCAAGGAAATAACATTTCGCTTTGCTTTGAGGTTAAATATATATTTGTAGCAATTTAGTCTCAAAATATTCACACAAAAAAGAGAAAACTGTGACTGACTCTTGTGTGAATGACGTGTAGTTCGAACTAAGTTATTTCAGTGATTGCTTCATTGCAATCGAACATGATGTTGAAAGAAATAAAAACATGTAATTTTCATACCTTTTTTTTATTTGTTGAAAAATGGGACTGACAAAAATTAGGGGGATTGGTAATTTTTAGAGTTGCCAGTCCACCAGGACTGGTTTTTTTGGTGAGGTGGAGGATATGGCTGGATGATTGGGGTATCAGTTGAAGAAGCTATTTAATGTCCATGATTGACACCCACCATACCACATAACCACTTTCAACCAAACTACTCTTGCCATTGGGAAAAGGTTTGTTCATCTGACTTCAGGGGCGGTTGGGTAGCCTAGTGGTTAAAGCGTTTGCTCGTCACGCATAAGCCCCGGTTTTGATTCCCAACATGGGTACAATGTGTGAAGCCCATTTCTGGTGTCCCCCGCCGTGATATTGCTGGAATATTGCTAAAAGCGGCGTAAAACCAAACTCACTCACTCATCTGACTTCAGACAATCGTGAAGCCCAGTGAGCTGCCAAGCCAGTTTTGAAACCTGATACAGAACTCTTGTCATTGAGACCAGGGAATGCCATGTTGAGCAAGGGTTTTCGCTCCATCTCTTCTGGTCGATATCACTACTTCAGATAGATTCTGTATTGTTCACAGAATAATGCCATACACCTGACTGGTGTATTTTACTAGTTATGGTGTCTTTTATTTATGTATATGGTGTCATATTAGGTTAGCAGAAAAATCTAATGCTCTGCCCAATGTTTTACTACTTACCTAATATGAAGACTGAAAACAATATAACAATTTTCCTATTTCTTTATCACACGTCATGTTAAAATGAAAACTTGACACTTAGAACCGGAATAAATGAGAACAAGCACTTTAATGTAAACACAATCGTTAACAATAGAATATATGATGCACTCAATGTGAACCTTTAGACAAGCATTATAGTTAAGATAGTCATAAAAATACTTGTATCACTATACGGGCCATGGTAACGTAATAGTGGCCCGCTTTTCCCTAACAACGGGCTGTTATCTATTCTATTGCTATGTGACTTCATTGGCGTCACATTTCTTGTTTGTGACGTCATCCTATATTACGTTCTATTTTCTCTATAATTATTATTGATAAAGTCATGGTTTCTTTAAAAATTAATGTCCAACAGGCAGTACATTGTATATCTGTGTGAGGTGTATATACATATCCTGATAAACCTACACACATTTTGAAGAGATATTTGCTAACATTGGTGTTTTGTACTTGCAGCCCCACCCCACAATTGAAGATGAGTGGGCCTCCAGGCAGGTGAGTACTCACCCTTTACCTGTTTTTACCTGTCATCTGGACCCGTGAAGATCCGGGGTAGAATACGTCTTCAGCAACCCTTACCTGCCGTAAAAGGCAACCATGCTTGTCGTAAGAGGCTACTAACGGATCAGGTTGTCAGGCTCGCTGACGTGGTTGATGCATGTCATCCTATCCCAATTGCATGAATCGATACTCATGATGTCAATCACTGGATCGTCTGGTCCAGACTGGATTATTTACAGACTGTCGTCATATAGCTGGAATATTGCTGAGTGCAGCGTTAAACAACAAACCAACAAAACCTGTCTTCTGACAGCTTACTTACTTGTGTTGATGTAATGAGGGCTGGAGGTGCACGGGGGACCATGTCAGACACCATGTAAAGGCTCTACATTTCGATGTGCATAGTTGCCTCCCTTAGGTGATCCAGGAACCTATGATCATGGGTTTGAATCCCAGATTCACCCCGATTATGTTTCTAGGTTTGTCAGCACCATACACCATACACGGCATGATATCCCTGATTTACTTTTCAAAGCGGTGTTGAACCCAACTAACTCACTGACTGAGTAAGCACTTCAAGCATATCCTATTGGGCAGCCAAGTTACTTGAAAACATGACAGTTACCTGTCTACTGCAACCTAATTACAGGTGGGATAGATCGAGTTACCATGTCAATGTTACCTGTCAGCTGTCACCTTATTAGAAGTGTAATAGATTCACGTAATTATGACATTGTTACCTGCCACCATGTTAAAGGTGTGACATATCCAAGTACTCCTGACATTGTTACCTGCCACCATGTTAAAGGTATGATAAATCCAGGTAATCATGACATTGTTACCTGCCACCATGTTAAAGGTGTGATATATCCAGGTTATCATGACATTGTTACCTGCCACTATGTTAAAGGTGTGACATAATCAGGTAATCATGACATTGTTACCTGCCACCATGTTAAAGGTGTGATATATCCAGGTTATCATGACATTGTTACCTGCCACTATGTTAAAGGTGTGACATAATCAGGTAATCATGACATTGTTACCTGCCACCATGTTAAAGGTGTGATATATCCAGGTTATCATGACATTGTTACCTGCCACCATGTTAAAGGTGTGACATATCCAGGTAATCATGACATTTTTACCTGGCCATCACTTCCTTTTGTGTTGCCCCGAGTGTTTGTATATAACTTCTTTCTACTTGTACCCGTAGTTATTTCATAAGCAACTTGATCACACTTTATTATCTTACATGCAAGAATTTACCCAAGAACCACCTGTCTTGTTGCAGCATCAGCGACGACTATGCCTCCACAAAGCTGGAGACACAGGTGGGTGGCTTTACTTCAACTTACCGTGTAACATGATGAGCTTTCCTAATGGACTAGATCTAGTTTTGGCAAAGAAAAATACATTTATTGTTTCATGTTTCCATTTGTCATTTTTCATTTTCATTTGACTCTATATTGTTGTTGGGGCAGTCGGGTAGCCTCATGGTTAAAGCGTTCGCTCGCCACACCGTAGACCCAGGTTCGAATCTCGACATGGGTACAATGTGTAATATAAAGCTCATTTCTGGTGTCCCCCGCTGTGATATTGCTTGAATATTGCTAAAAGCGGCGTAAAAACAATACTCACTCACCATATTGTTGTTGTTTTTGTTGTTTTTGTTTATTCATAATGAGGCTACCAACCCGTTATACAAGTATACACACACATGTATATTGTATTGAACATGTATACATGTTGTGCGTAATGTATTGTAAGGAAGTGCCCACAACTCAAGGCAATTGCCCCATTCACCGGAGCTGTGATCCTCTGTGTAGCATCCGCAAATTGGGCACCCTTCATTGCGTAACACCAGAGAATGAGCAACAAGTTCTGTACATGAACAAATATCAAATTAATTTTTAATGTTTGTAATACAAGCCTAACTTCTAAAATACCAGGGTGGTCGGGTGGCCTAGTGGTTAAAGCATTCGCTCATCACGCCGAAGACCCGGGTTCGATTCCCGACATGGGTACAATGTGTGAAGCCCATTTCTGGTGTACCCCGCCGTGATATTGCTGGAATATTGTCAAAAGCGGCGTAAAACCATACTCACTCTATCTAAAATACCATACCTTCATAGATTGGATAACACAATGATTAATATAAAAATGACTAAAATTTAGCTCAGTATGGCAATATAACAGATAAAACATCAGAGAATTATCTCAGTTATCCTCAGAAACAGATTCCTTTAGACGTAGAAGGCAAAAGTTCAGGTTACTTAAATAATAAAAATACCACAATGAAATACCTTATTATGGCAATATAAATGATTAAAACATTCACTTTCTGCAACATTTGGCATTTATAGGGTGGCAGTGACTGGAATGTGTTTCTAGACTAACACTTCTTGGTTGGGTGTTGACCAGCACAGTTACACTTGCTGTAACCCTGACCGCAACCAGTACTGTCGCTCCAGGGGATTATGCAGATTAGTTAATCCCCTAAACCAGAGGAGTGAGCAACACTGCGTAAAGATGGTGCTTGGACAGAGCCTATTCTGAGAGATTATGCAAAACGGCTTTTACTTCAGGGGATATGAGCTGGAGAATAGCATTTTAAGTTTTTCCTGGTATGGATGGACACAATAATAGTTTGGTGAAATACTGTCTTAAGTACACATCCTTTGTACACATCATGAAATTCTTGAACCTTGCCTCAGTGGTAGGCAACATCTCATCACAGTTGCATAATAATTCAGCGTATGGACCTAAGGCTCTTTTCATGGCTACGTGGTTATAGAGCAGGTATAATTATAGGAGACACGTGACTTCAAGGTCTGCAATATCAGCATATTGACGTATAGTCATCACCGATTGTGGTAATTATAGTTCTAATATGGTCTGTATTTTGAGAGTTAGATATCCATAGTAGGTCCTACCTGAATATATATGTTAGATATTATCATATTTTAGATATTACCAGTATTGTTAAATAATATTTAGGCATTATCCACATTATTATGTAATATATATATATATATGTGTATTTCTTGTATCTAATGAAAGGTCTTATAGAAGTGAAGAAATACAGTATTTCAGTGTAACAAGAAGGCAGCATTGTTCTTGTGTTGAGGCAGTGAATGGGAGTGTTGGGCTGTTTAAAGAGTCTGTAATCTACTGCCAGCTATTGATTCCAGTGCTGTTGCAACAGCCATTACTTGTAAATCTCTCCCGTTCTTCTTGTGCCTCTCAAAGGCCTGATGACTAAATAGTTTCCTGCCGTATAAAATGTCTGATATGGTTGTGTGAGTGTTTGTGCATGTTAATGTAATCAGCTGCAAGTATTGATCTCGCCACCGTCTAACACACAGATTGTGCCTTCTTTCCTGGAGGGTATTATCCCACTTACTCTGGCAGTTATACCCAGCTCCTATTAATCAAATTTTAAGCCCAAGTTAACCATTTTCTATTGCTATGGCGTTCATCTGAGTTTCAGGTAGCCTTGGGATTCAGGCTGCCCTCCTGGCCCTGAATACTACTAGGGACAATAAGGGCTCTCAGTCTCATACCCGTCCTATTGAGCCCCACCCTTGTGAAGTGTCCTTGATAACAGCTGCGTGAAACGTCCAGCTGAGACCCAGTCTCATACCCACCTATTAAACCACACCCTTGTGAGGTGTTGCTGATAACAACCGAGTGAAATGTCCAGCCTTAGACCCAGTCTCATACCCACCTATTAAACCACACCCTTGTGAGGTGTCACTGATAACAGCTGCGTGAAACGTCCAGCCTTAGACCCAGTCTCATACCCACCTATTAAACCACACCCTTGTGAGGTGTCACTGATAACAGCTGCGTGAAACGTCCAGCCTTAGACCCAGTCTCATACCCACCTATTAAACCACACCCTTGTGAGGTGTCACTGATAACAGCTGTGTGAAACGTCCGGCCTTAGACCCAGTCTCATACCCACCTATTAAATCACACCCTTGTGAGGTGTCGCTGATAACAGCTGCGTCAAACGTCCAGCCTTAGACCCAGTCTCTTACCCACCTATTAAACCCCATCCTTGTGAGGTGTTGCTGATAACAGCTGTATGAAACATCCAGCCTTAGACCCAGTCTCATACCCACCTATTAAACCCCACCCTTGTGAGGTGTCGCTGATAACAGCTGCATAAAATGTCCAGCCTTTGATCCAGTCTCATACCAACCTATTAAATCCCACCCTTATGAGGTGTTGCTGATAACAGCTGTATGAAACATCCAGCCTTAGACCCAGTCTTATACTCACCTATTAAATCCCACCCTTATGAGGTATCGCTGATAACAGCTGCATGATGCTAGGTATATGGTGTGTGCTGTGTGCAAGTATTATGATGCTAGGTATAGGGTGTGTGCTGTATGCAAGTATTATGATGCTAGGTATATGGTGTGTGCTGTATGCAAGTATTATGATGCTAGGTATAGGGTGTGTGCTGTGTGCAAGTATTATGATGCTAGGTATAGGGTGTGTGCTGTATGCAAGTATTATGATGCTAGGTATATGGTGTGTGCTGTGTGCAAGTTTCGTGATGCTAGGTATATGGTGTGTGCTGTATGCAAGTATTATGATGCTAGGTATATGGTGTGTGCTGTGTGCAAGTTTCGTGATGCTAGGTATATGGTGTGTGCTGTGTGCATGTATTATGATGCTAGGTATATGGTGTGTGCTGTGTGCAAGTATTATGATGCTAGGTATATGGTGTGTGCTATGTGCAAGTATTATGATGCTAGGTATATGGTGTGTGCTGTGTGCAAGTATTATGATGCTAGGTATATGGTGTGTGCTATGTGCAAGTATTATGATGCTAGGTATATGGTGTGTGCTGTGTGCAAGTATTATGATACTAGGTATATTGTGTGTGCTGTGTGCAAGTTTCTTGATGCTAGGTATATGGTGTGTGCTGTGTGCATGTATTATGATGCTAGGTATATGGTGTGTGCTGTGTGCTGTGTGCAAGTATTATGATGCTAGGTATATGGTGTGTGCTATGTGCAAGTATTATGATGCTAGGTATATGGTGTGTGCTGTGTGCAAGTATTATGATGCTAGGTATAGGGTGTGTGCTGTATGCAAGTACATGTATTATGATGCTAGGTATATGCTGAGTGCTATGTGCAAGTATCGTGATGCTAGGCATATGGTGTGTGCTGTATGCAAGTACATGTATTATGATGCTAGGTATATGGTGTGTGCTATGTGCAAGTATCGTGATGCTAGGTATATGGTGTGTGTTGTGTGCAAGTATCGTGATGCTAGGTATATGGTGTGTGCTGTGCTGTTTGCAAGTATTATGATTCAAGGTATATGGTGTGTGCTGTGTGCAAGTATCGTAATGCTAGGTATAGGGTGTGTGCTGTATGCAAGTATTATGATGCTAGGTATATGGTGTGTGCTGTGTGCAAGTATTATGATGCTAGGTATATGGTGTGTGCTATGTGCAAGTATTATGATGCTAGGTATAGGGTGTGTGCTGTGTGCAAGTATTATGATGCTAGGTATATGGTGAGTGCTGTGTGCAAGTATCGTGATGCTAGGTATATGGTGTGTGCTGTGTGCAAGTATCGTGATGCTAGGTATATGGTGTGTGCTGTGTGCAAGTATTATGATGCTAGGTATATGGTGTGTGCTGTGTGCAAGTATCATGATGCTAGGTATATGGTGTGTGCTGTGCTGTGTGCAAGTATTATGATGCTAGGTATATGGTGTGTGCTGTGTGCAAGTATTGTGATGCTAGGTATATGGTGTGTGCTGTGTGCAAGTATCGTGATGCTAGGTATAGGGTGTGTGCTGTGTGCAAGTACATGTATTATGATGCTAGGTATATGGTGTGTGCTGTGTGCAAGTATCGTGATGCTAGGTATATGGTGTGTGCTGTGTGCAAGTATCGTGATGCTAGGTATATGGTGTGTGCTGTGTGCAAGTATCGTGATGCTAGGTATAGGGTGTGTGCTGTGTGCAAGTATTATGATGCTAGGTATATGCTGTGTGCAAGTATTATGATGCTAGGTATATGGTGTGTGCTGTGTGCAAGTATTATGATGCTAGGTATATGGTGTGTGCTGTGTGCAAGTATCGTGATGCTAGGTATATGGTGTGTGCTGTGTGCAAGTATTATGATGCTAGGTATATGGTGTGTGCTGTGTGCAAGTATGGTGATGCTAGGTATATGGTGTGTGCTGTGCAAGTATTATGATGCTAGGTATATGGTGTGTGCTGTGTGCAAGTATTATGATGGTAGGTATATGGTGTGTGCCAGTGCAAGTATCGTGATGCTAGGTATATGGTGTGTGCTATATGCAAGTATCTTGATGCTAGGTATATGGTGTGTGCTATGTGCAAGTATTATGATGCTAGGTATATGGTGTGTGCTGTGTGCAAGTATTATGATGCTAGGTATATGGTGTGTGCTATGTGCAAGTATCGTGATGCTAGGTATATGGTGTGTGCTATGTGCAAGTATTATGATGCTAGGTATATGGTGTGTGCTGTGTGCAAGTATTATGATGCTAGGTATATGGTGTGTGCTATGTGCAAGTATTATGATGCTAGGTATATGGTGTGTGCTGTGTGCAAGTATTATGATGCTAGGTATATGGTGTGTGCTGTGTGCAAGTATCGTGATGCTAGGTATATGGTGTGTGCTATGTGCAAGTATTATGATGCTAGGTATATGGTGTGTGCTGTGTGCAAGTATTATGATGCTAGGTGGATGGTATATGATGTGTGCATGTGACTGCCTCTGTCTACACTGATGGGTATGTGCCTGTCAATGCTCTGTTCTTGAAGAAATGTTGTTACGAAACAAGCCTGCCAGAAATAGTTGAATCTGTCACAGTCACTCATATTGCTGTCTGTCCCCCTTGTTCTAAAGAAATAAGGAGATTATTAAAAGATTCTCTGAGGCAATATCTAGCGGTTGCTTGAAGTGGAGGTAGGACTGAGTATAGATTAGCTAGTTATCAGATACGTTTCAGGCCTGATTTTTAGCTGTGGTGCAATGGCTGTAGTAGTATTTGTGTAACAGCTGGTGTGGTGTTGTAGATGTAACATGTAGCAGTCGGCGTAGTTGTGGTAATGTAGCAGTGGGTGTAGTTGCTGTGGTATTGGAGCAGTAGGTGAAGTTGCTGCTTGGAGCAGTGAGTGTTGTTGCTGGTGTGTTGTAGATGTGGTATTGTAGCAGTAGGTGTAGTTGTTGGTGTGGTGTTGTAGATGTGGTTGTTGGAGCAGTAGGTGTATGCCGTAGTAGTACCTATTTCCCCAGTATGAACAAATTATAGCATCAGTCAATATGGCAGTCTCAGAACAAAAAAATCGGACAGGCCTTGAGAAACCCTTAACTGAATTTATCCTGAACTGTTGCAGCGTCAAATCATTGAGAAGAACAACCGGCGGAAGAGGCAGACGCCGGGGATGATGCAGCCTAATGTTGACAGTCGACCATCGTCCGGCAGGAAGAACCGAGAGGAGTCCCGTCCACTAGTTAAAGACTCCACGCCCAAATCAACCACACCCACCAATTTTGGTATGTTGAAGAATGAATGACTACAATTGTCAGAATGTAATTATACCCTGTCAGATGGTGCTGGAACAATACAATAGTGCATCAGCGGATCACGATTTATGATTTCCAATACTAGTACATGTATCAGTCAATGTCACGCACTATAAAATATATCGATTATTATCTGAAATGTTTGCTTTAAAAACTGCCACACTAATTAGAAGTGAAAACTATTTCCATCCATTGTGCTTTAATTGACAGTGGCACCACTCAACTGCATCTCGAATCCTATGAATGCAGTTCTCTCACAAACACGATTAGTTTTATATCATTAGTTCGTTCTAAAGTTTATAAATTGATGGTTAACAGGTACATGCAAGTATATAATGGATCGCACAGTTTGTGTAACGTCCCAGCCCTCACTGTATTCACTGGAGATGGGCTTGTATGACAGAATGTATTTCATACCTCGAGGTGTTTTACTTAGTGCTTTGGTCATGATTCCTAAGTAATACCCTACACGCCCAATGAAGATCGGGGTTAGAATTGTTCTTTGCCAACCCATGCTTGTTGTAATAGGCAACTGACGGGATCAGGTGGTCAGACTTGTTCTAATAGGCAACTGACGGGATCGGGTGGTCAGACTTGTTGTAATAGGCAACTGACGGGATCGGGTGGTCAGACTTGTTGTAATAGACAACTGACGGGATCGGGTGGTCAGACTTGTTGTAATAGGCAACTGACGGGATCGGGTGGTCAGGCTTGTTGTAATAGACAACTGACGGGATCGGGTGGTCAGACTTGTTGTAATAGGCAACTGACGGGATCGGGGGGTCAGGCTTGTTGTAATAGACAACTGACGGGATCGGGTGGTCAGACTTGTTGTAATAGACAACTGACAGGATCAGGTGGTCAGACTTGTTGTAATAGACAACTGACGGGATCGGGTGGTCAGACTTGTTGTAATAGGCAACTGACTGGATCGGGTGGTCAGATTTGTTGTAATAGGCAACTGACTGGATCGGGTGGTCAGACTTGTTGTAATAGACAACTGACGGGATCGGGTGGTCAGATTTGTTGTAATAGGCAACTGACTGGATCGGGTGGTCAGGCTTGTTGACTTGGCTGATGCATGTCATCGTGTCCCAAATGCATACATCAATGCTCGTAATGTCAAACACTGGATTTTCTGGTCCAGACTCTATCTACAGCTGACTCTATCATATAGCTGGAATATTGCTGAGTGTGATGTTATACAAGCAGTACAAAAAATACCCCACATCTTAACTTTCTGTGATGTTCCCAACTTCATTCTAGGTGAGGCATTGCGTCATTCTCGCACAATTCAGTTTTAAATATCATACTTTAGAATTGCTAATTATTGTATTGGCCTTAAGTCAGTCCCTGCAAATTCTGTAAGGGTCCATTTTTGTACAAAGAGTTCCATACTGTTCCTGCTTTGAAGAAGTGCCCGAAAAGGTGCAAAGTTTCTTAACAGTGATCACTTTTGTGTTTATATGCAGTACGTTCTCGAAGAGATGTCAATATTTTGTACTCTGCACATACCAAAGCAATGTGTCAGGTGGAATGACTGAGAAATAGCAATGAGTGTATGTTATAGTGCGTTTGAGATCAGCAACACGCGGATGTTCAACTGTGTGAAGCAGTTGTAATATGTCCCAGGTTGTGCAATCATGATTTCAAGTGAGATCACTGTTTGACTGATCCTGGAAGGGTTATCTCCCCTCACTATTATCCTGTAAGGTTGGTTGGTTGGTTGGTTGTTTAACGCCGCACTCAGCAATATTCCAGCTATATGACGGCAGTCTGTAAATAATCGAGTCTGGACTAGACCATCCATTGATTGACATCATGAACATCGATCCACGCAATTGGGATCGATGACAGGCATCAACCAACTCAGTGAGCCTGACCACCCGATCCCGTTAGTCGCCTTTTACGACAAGCATAGTCGCCTTTTACAGCAAGCATGGGTTGCTGAAGACCTATTCTACCCTGGATCTTCACGGGTCTCCTGTGAGGTACTTAAAGGGCAGCTGGCATCACTACGAGATATTTACATACATGATCAATACAAGATTGGCATGCATCACTGTACTTTCTCTTGCAGCATATGACGGCCCGGGAGGCTACGACCTGGGCAGCCCTGATACCCTCAACTCAGGGACATCGACCACGATACAAGTGTTGGATGTCACGTCCTCTGTGTCGAAGGATTACAACAGTGACACTGACAGCGAGGATATCCCCACGATAGGAACAGGTAGGTCACAGTTGCCAAGCCTGCAGGAAGATGTTATCATCATTACATCTCCATGGTCAGGAAGCACTTGCACAAATCGTCACACTTTCGTTTGTCAGTCATTTTTATGAGTTATCATAAATCCATGTGGATTATCAGGGTTCGAAATTATTTTATTTTATGCACACTTCTGCAAAAATGGTTGCAAATCTGCCATCTATCTGGTGATAAGAGAGGCAGAAATTTACAACTCTCATCAATATAGATCTTAGAGATCGATAATCTTTAGCTAAATATTGATCAATTATCAATAAATATCAGAGAAGTAACATTGAGCAAATGAAAAAACTCAGAGAAAACATAACATATTTCACATCACTGTGGAGTGGCAACACATGTATATATGGCTTATTTTGTGGTCATCTAAGATCAGTTGTTTTCCTTCTTCTGCAATGGACAAAAACAAGTCTGCTTCAGTAAATTAAAGCTTAATTTCATCACAATAGTTTATGCAAGATATTAGCGATGACACAATTTTCAAATCGATAATCGTTACTATTTCGTCCCATCGACAATAATTCCAATTATCGATCTTTATAGCCAGCCCAAACTCTCAGACGAGTTCACTTCTGTTAATTTCGAACCCTGATTATTGCCATTTTATTTGATATTTTGGCTGTTTATCGTTATACTGTGCCCAGCATGTAAATGTTGATCCCGCCAGTGTTGTTAATGTCATACAGAGATCATCCTTCCTTCAGTCAGTTGTTTCAAGCGTGTGGTCAGTTGTGTCCACATGCTGTTGGTGTGTGTACCTGTTGTGTTTCCATATTGTACGCACAGCAATGTCTGTTGCTTTCATGCATTGTCTTTATTGATTTGTGTTCATTTTCAAGAAAACACCCAACCCAAAAAGAAGGGCAAGAAAAAAAACAAAAGGGCTGCAGGTAACTATGGTTGTGTGGTGTTGAACTACCCTGACTAACACCTGTTTCTGAGACCACCAGATACTAACACTATACCCTCTATGTAGATAGATTGTACCTTCACTAGAGATACATATAGTGTACCATGTACCTTCAATAGAGATATGGGGCACGGCTGTCTCAGTCGTCTAAGGTGCCGCGATTCGCTGTGCAGAGTTGCATCCCTTGGGCACGCCAGAAACCTATGATTGTGGGTTTGAATCCAGGTTCACCCCGATTGTGTTTCTTGGTATGTCAGCACCATACCTGTGTGTGGGCTTCACTGAAGTGGTAAACGTCTGAGACCTGCATCATTTCGGGCTTTCCTCCCACGTTAAGCTGACATGCCGCGATATAACTGGAATACTGTTAAAAGCGGCGTTAAACCCAACTCACTCACTCACTCAATAGAGATACATACTATGTAACATGTACTATGAGCATGTCATACCGCTCTGTGATACATAAGATATGATATATTTGGATAGAGAAAAAAGCCAAATTTCAAATTCCCTGTTGTCTCTAATACTTGAAATACACTTTTATAGTCCATTCATTGTGTGTTTTCAACCAAAAATATATTGCCACACACATTTTCAATATTATAGTAAACTCAAGTCTGCATTTTGTAACTAATAACTACATGGTATTTTAGAAAGCCACCCGATGAATGAACAAGAAGTGCTTTCTGTATATATTATCTTCCATGGTGATGCAGCCATTATAGGGATTATTTCAATCAGAGGTTGTAATTGTGATTTGATACCTCTGACTGACCGATCAAATAATTTCCAAATTCCTTATAGAATGTATGGTGAACTGTCTGTATGATAGGTGGAGTGTATACCCTTAACATTGATACACTGATTGTGCCATGTTCCTTCAATACTGATACATGAATTGTACCATGTATCTTCCTTAGACGTATATAGATTTTACAATACTGATCGTATGATGGGTGTGTATTATGTCATTCTATTGTCATGTACTTGAGTTGTCCCAAGTAACCGGTCCCATGTCGAAGATATTCTTGGAGTAGAAACTTCATTTATTTAACGGGGGCACGGGTGGCCCAGTCTTCTAAGGCGCCGTGATTGGCTGTGCAGAGTTGTGTCCCTTGGGCACGCCAGAAACCTATGATTGTGGGTTCGAATCCCAGTTCGCCCCGATTATGTTTCTAGGTTTGTCAGCAGCATACCCGTGCTCGTGTGTTTCAACGAAGTGGTAAACGTCTGAGACCTGCATTACTTCGGGCTTTCCTCCCACATTAAGCTGACACGCCGCGATATAACTGTAATACTGTTAAAAGAGGCGTTAAACCCAACTCACTCACTCACTCATTTATTTAACATTCATGTTATTGTTAATCATGTTAATCGGACAAGTCATTAGAAAATTTGTTATTTTTCCTGCTTGGGTACTACACCTTGACTCCAACTCTGTTGGCAGGAGCATCTGTATGTCTGCTTCATCTGCTCCTGCCCTGGCACTCCCCCTCCTCTCCCCCTCCTCTCCCCCTCCTCTCCCCCTCCTCTCCCCCTCCTTGTGTTAGCCTGCCACCTTCATGTTGTGTCACAACCTCACTGCTTCTGCACATTCACAGCTTTACTGTCTCCTCCTGTGAGATGACTGCAGTTGCTGCCTACAACACATCCATGGGTCTCACTCAGGCCCATACAGTATGGCTGATGTGATGTCATGGGTCTCACTGAGACTCATACAGTATGGCTGATGTAATGGCATGGGTCTTGCTGAGACTCGAGCAGTATGGCTGATGTAATGTCATGGGTCTCACTGACATTCGTACAGTATGGCTGATGTAATGTCATGGGTCTCACTGACACCCGTACGGTATGGCTGATGTAATGTCATGGGTCTCACTGAGACTCGAGCAGTATGGCTGATGTAATGTCATGGGTCTCACTCAGACCCGTACAGTATGGCTGATATAATGTCATGGGTCTCACTCAGACCCGTACAGTATGGCTGATGTAATGTCATGGGTCTCACTGAGACTCGAGCGGTATGGCTGATGTAATGTCATGGGTCTCACTCAGACCCGTACAGTATGGCTGATGTAATGTCATGGGTCTCACTGAGACTCGAGCAGTATGGCTGATGTAATGTCATGGGTCTCACTCAGACCCGTACAGTATGGCTGATGTAATGTCATGGGTCTAACTCAGACCCATACAGTATGGCTGATGTAATGTCATGGGTCTTACTCAGACCCGTACAGTATGGCTGATGTAATGTCATGGGTCTAACTCAGACCCGTACAGTATGACTGATGTAATGTCATGGGTCTCACTGAGAGTCGTGAAGTATGGCTGATGTAACGTCATGGGTCTCAGTGAGACTCGTACAGTATGGCTGATGTAATGTCATGGGTCTCACTGAGACCCATACAGTATGGCTGATTAATGTCATGAGTCTCACTGAGACCCATACAGTATGGCTGATGTAATGTCATGGGTCTCACTGAGACCCCTACAGTATGGCTGATGTAATGTCATGGGTCTCATTGAGACTCGTACAGTATGGCTGATGTAATGTCGTGGGTCTCACTCAGACTCGTACAGTATGGCTGATGTAATGTCATGGGTCTCACTGAGACTCGTACAGTATGGCTGATGTAATGTCATGGGTCTCGCTGAGAGTCGTACAGTATGGCTGATGTAATGTCGTGGGTCTCACTCAGACTCGTACAGTATGGCTGATGTAATGTCATGGGTCTCACTGAGACTCGTACAGTATGGCTGATGTAATGTCATGGGTCTCGCTGAGAGTCGTGAAGTATGGCTGATGTAATGTCAAGGGTCTCACTCAGACCCATACAGTATGGCTGATGTAATGTCATGTTAGGCCAGACTATTTTTACAGCCTAAGGCAACACTTTTTTTAAGGATGGCAACATAACAATATTCATGTCATGGGTGGAAATGCATGAAAGACACTGCTATTTTGGCAGCATGGGCAACGTTTAACTCTTTCAACACCAGCCAACCAGAAGATTACTGCTGTGACACCAAGTTCCCAGAGACTGTTGTGTGATAGATGAAACCAACATTTATCAAGGAATTATCTGCTGAAATTAACATCTTTGCTACTACATGTTTGGCCATACACTATTTGAAAGGTCTAATTAATCCTATTGTTTATAAATATGAAAGTTATGTGTATTTCATTATTTAAATAATTCATGAACAACTAAATAAAGTTCGTTTTAAATAAATAATAATGTAAGCTAAAACATTCATAACGTCCAAATTAAGCGCAAATCTAACGATTTTTTCGGCAAATATAAGAATTCATAAAATCTACTTACCCATTTCTTTTTAATTTTCATTTGTTTACGTTGTTGGAAACTTATTTTAAAAAGAATTACAAATAATATCCGCTCACTAACATGAGGAAATACCTCGGTTTTCAAAGCTTCGTATGATTAACACATACGTCCTGCCATGTCAGTATACATTAAAAAAACTTATATTGTTTCACCGACAAAATCTGCTACAAGGTCCGTGATTGGTCAAATTTAAGCACGTGACCTAAGGCAGCTAATCAAATTACAGCAACGATAATTTTCAGATTTTGGCGAAAGGTTTGGGTTAAATCATGTTATTCTGAACGTTTTAGCATGAAATCGCGATCTATATTAAAAATATGGAACTTTATGGATGCATAGAGCTAGGTTTCGAGCTGTGACAAAGATTTCTTATGCATATATTTTGGCATTAAGACATCGTGTCCGAGCCGAGAAATCGAGGCGACGAAAGCCGAGATGTCATTTGACTTACGATATGCGATCACATGAAAAGTTGGAAATAATAACTAAGATGTCAGTTTGGCAACTTTTATAGATATATTTTTGAATGAAACGTCTTTATTTTGCTATTTGACATGTTCGATGAGGACCCGTTGTCGAAGTGTGTCAGAGAATTTTATTTTCAATAACATTGCGGGAAATAGTGTCAAGTGAATATATTTTTGATCTATAGATAAAAAAATGATAAAATCAAATGGAATACGTATTTCAGACATAGTGAAATGTGATAGATTTAATAAATGAATGATATGACAAGTAGGTTAATTGTAATTATAAACTATTTTGACGTGGCTTGGACGGTCTACCGTGCGGTGTGACTTGTGGCTTTGAACGGCCAACAGTGTTGAATTAGTTAAACTGGTCACCACTGCGCTTTGCGTTGACAAGCTTTGATGGTATTAGAGAAGGATCCCAGCAAGAAATATCAGAGTGACTTCCCTTTGCTTTACGCTCGAAGAGGAAATGAAATCTTTTTTTTGTTTGAACTTTTTGTCGAAAAGATCGGCGGTAATAAAAAAAAGGGTAATTTTCATTTTTATTTTTTTTTAACATTTGGACTTTGAAAGAGCGGCGCATCCGTAAACCAAGAAATAAAAAAAATGTCGCCTAATTTACAAATCTTGCAACCACAAAAAATTGAAATGTGAAAAAGAAACAATGAAAGGCAATGGGTTTTTTATTTCACCAACCACAAATAAATAACATAACAGTTTTAATGCTTTCACTTCAAATATTGTATTGTATCTCATTGTGGCAGATCTACACAGAATATGAAGTTGGATGAGTAGCAGACCGTGGTCCAATATGCAAACAGTTCTAAGCCCTCTACTCTCATAACATATCTAAACAGAGAAACCTACAAATTGTCAAACAAATAGCTTTGGTTAGATCTACTGAAGCTAGAGATTGTGGAGAATTGTCATTATTCGTATTGGGTGCTTTGTTTTTAGGGTGTCATCAATGTAGAAATTGTTGGCTCCCAGCGAATAAGAAGTCTTTGTGCTTCACTGTCTGTTTCCACCAGTGCCGTGTGACACTCTAGTGGAATGATACTCCTGTCTGTGTGTTATTTTGTAGCTCGTATTCGTAAGCATGAGGACTGGACAGAGGGGTCACTAGAGAGTGACCATCTGCAGATGAACACTGAGGAAGACTACTCAGGGATAGACTTCTCTGCTAGTGACAGTAAACATCCTAGCTGTCTGTCTCAACTGTGTGTGTAGCGTGTTGGCAGTAGATGCTAGATAGACGTAGAACAGGGTGGACAGAGGGGTCACTACAGAGTGACCATCTGCAGTTGAACACTGAGGAAGACTACTCAGGGATAGACTTCTCTGCTAGTGACAGTAAACATCCTAGCTTTCTGTCTCAACTGTGTGTGTAGCGTGTTGGCAGTAGATGCTAGATAGACGTAGAACAGGGTGGACAGAGGGGTCACTACAGAGTGACCATCTGCAGTTGAACACTGAGGAAGACTACTCAGGGATAGACTTCTCTGCTAGTGACAGTAAACATCCTAGCTTTCTGTCTCAACTGTGTGTGTAGCGTGTTGGCAGTAGATGCTAGATAGACGTAGAACAGGGTGGGCAGAGGGATCACTAGAGAGTGACCATCTGCAGATGAACACTGAGGAAGACTACTCAGGGATAGGCTTCTCTGCTAGTGACAGTAAACATCCTAGCTGTCTGTCTCAACTGTGTGTGTAGCGTGTTGGCAGTAGATGCTAGATAGACGTAGAACAGGGTGGACAGAGGGGTCACTAGAGAGTGACCATCTGCAGATGAACACTGAGGAAGACTACTCAGGGATAGACTTCTCTGCTAGTGACCGTAAACATCCTAGCTGTCTGTCTCAACTGTGTATGTAGTGTGTTGGCAGTAGATGCTAGATAGACATAGAACAGGGTGGACAGAGGGTCATGTCTGTTGGAAGGTGTGTGATACAGGACATTTCACATGCTATAACTGACCATGGAACATCCATGTCCCCATGGTCGGATGAACATGCAGCGACCTTAACGCTACGATTGTCGTAAGCCTATGTTAAGGTATTGGAATTATGATTGTATAAGCACGACGATCGCGTTGTGGAACAGGATCAGGATCTTTATGGAAAGTTTCCAAACATTAGAATTACATTAGGAGGCTATTACCAGCACTTCATATAAACTTCTCATTTCTTTGGAAAGGATTTATGAGTAGTATAGTGTGAAGATGTTTATATAAATCAGAGGTATGATCAAGGCAGTTTACTATGTTGATAAAGTAAGATCTGCCTATATGTGGCTAGTAAGGTGGGAGCACCACGAACATGGGGTAATCTGGATCAAAGACCTTAGCACTAAGAGTTTTGTAATTGTAGGTCTGTGTTAAAGTTGGGTATCGACAATGGTCTTAGCGCTATGGTGGCTTTGTGCAAGTGGGTCATAGAGTTACAAGAAGTAGGAGAGGGGCTAGTGTGTTACAACTGATGAGGTGTTGCGTGCCATGTGCGTGACTCTCTGTTGATGCTAGAATGTGCCATATGTAATCATCATTTGAAGCTATATTATGTCATGGATAACTCTGCTGACGTTAGACTGTTGCATGGGTTCTGTGGGTAACTCCCTGCTGAAGTTCGACAGTGCCATGGTTTTTTTTCTGCTGTGACATGATCTGTTGAAGCTGTCTGTGTCTTTCAGAGATTTCTGATGTGATGTGTGTCTGTGTCTTTGTCTTTGTTCTAGACGCTTTGTTAATCCAAGCTGGTATTCTGACAGAGGGCTGGACTAAAAATCCCCAATCGTCAACTTCAGATGTGGAACTACCCAGTAACGTGACTTTGTCGCTGGCAATATGATACTAACAGACTTACATCTTTGAATGTATTGTTTTATGTTCTAAGTAACCATGTTTTGCTGTGAAAGAAGTAACATTGTGTCTATATCAAGTGTATGAGCACACATGATAAGGTCATCCATGTGTGTGGTTTCTACTCTCCATCATCCATCATCCATCTCATCCATCTCATCCAATTACCTATCAGTTCCCAAATCTTTCTACCACCAAGCAAACACTATGGTTGGGTTGATAGGTCCTCCTCAACCCAGTGATGATCTTTCCAAGGAACCTGTGAAGGTCGGGATTAGAATAGGTTTTCAGCAACCCATCCTTCTTGTAAAAGGCGACTGCAGATATGGATGGTCAGGCTCGCTGTCTTGGTTGATGCATAACATCGTATCCCAATTACCTAGATTGATGCTCGTGATGACAGTCACTGGATTTTCTGGTTCAGACTGGATTATTTACAGACTGCCATCATATAGCTGGAATATTGCTGAGTGCGGCATCAAAAAGAAAACAAACATAATACCCTACACCTTTACTTATGGAATGTTCCAAACTTCATTCTAGGTGTGGTATTGTGTCATTCCCGCACACTTAAGTTTCAAATAGCACACTTTAGAACAAAGAAAGAAACTAACAACCTGTGAGGATATGCCAGGGATAGCTCAGACATAAGTAGACTTATGCTTCTCATGTTTAGCAGTAGATATTGGGAGGCCAAGGTCCATGTTAAATGAGGTGATACTAAGACAAGGTTAAGAATGCTAGTTTCATGAGCTGTTTAGATCAAATAATAGACTCCGATTGCCATGCTGTTTTCAGCATTGTTATTCTCTCCTCCTAAGTCCTTGCTAATGACGCAAGATAAATAAGACTGCCAAAATGTTAGAAGTCAAAATTATTCAACCCGTTTATGTGACTGGAGGGAAAATTCAGAGAATTCTTGAAGGAATCCAGAGTAGTAGCAGCAGTAAGCTGTAGAATAAACAGACACGATTACTTACAGACCATTGTCATTTATCTGGTCTTCTGATTGGCTTGGATGTGGGCTTTGGGTTACAAGATATATTCAATCAAAATGTGCTGGTAGTTAACACTGGGATTGAGTGCAGAAAGGATTATTTGGACATGTAATACTTAAGATCTTCCAGCCAGTATGCAGCGATGGCATCCTTAAACACTATCATTGGTTAAAACATATATATATATATTATACATATACAGTTAATATTATTTTTAAAAAAAATTATTTTCTCTTTCCTAATGATGAACATATGGTGCGTTTTATTAAGTTGGATGATGAAAAAACATTATCAAAAGGACCATTACTTAAAAAAAATAGTTAACTGAATTGGACCTACAATATGTTCAGGGGGCGGTCGGGTAGCCTAGTGGTTAAAGCGTTCGCACACCACGCCGAAGACCCGGGTTCGATTCCCGACATGGGTAAAATGTGTGAAGCCCATTTCTGGTATCCTCCGCTGTGATAATGCTGGAATATTGCTAAAAGCAGCGTAAAACCATCCTCACTCACAACATGTTTAGAGTTAGCAGACAGGGATTGGTAATGAATCGTATGTCACTCCTTGACCATTAGTGATCAATCACCTGTCATGCCTTGGCTAACACAGTCGCTATGTCATCACAGTGGTTAAGATTTTAACTCACTCACTCACTCACTCACTTTGCCATCAGGGAAAGTGAGCTACAGTACCTTACATTGGTCTTCCTTGTGTTATGTGTTGGTTTTGGGGTATACCATTACACTAATATAGTGTTTTTGTACACTTTTTTCATTCTTAAACCTATAGCCTTTCCCATATTCAGACGCATTAAATAAGCTGTTTGTTTGCTTCAATTTTCTGCGCGACCTAACACCAGTTTCTGATCAGCTTAAGATTATTGCTCACACACACTGCACCAAGGTTAAGCCAGCTCAAACTAATCTGCTGACTCGTGACGTTTCTGTTCAGATGAAAACAGCGGCAGTGTAAGACTGACTCAACGCGAGCTGTCAGATGCTGTGCTGAAGACAGTATCGGGTATTACAGTCAACCGAGGTCATTACCTTATAGCACAGTAGTATCCAAACCAGTACTGATAGTAGTTCAGTAATAGGTGTATCAAAGTTATATAGAGATGTACCATACCCAGAGTGGATTCCAACCAATGTTAGTGGTCACCATTTCCCATGAAAGTGATGTACTTAGTATCACACAACCAGGAACAGGGGACTTCTAATGTTATGAAATCAGTGTTCCCGTTTACTGGTAATTACCAGATTTTACCGGTAAAATTAGGCTCGAACCAGTAATTCATGTGACTGCCAGTCCCTGTGGACTGGCAAATAAGGTACCTTATAAATCTTTGTTGTTGAACAAAACATTGGCGATCAGATAAGTATATTTTTTTAACAAAGTCAGCTTGTCTGTTACCATCAGGGTTTCCTGTTGTCTATTTTTTGTGCAAGGAAATAACATTTCCGTTTGCTTTGAGGTTAAATATATATTTGTAGTGAATTAGTCTTGAAATACTAAAAAAAACCTGAAAAAATAGTGACTGAACTTTGTGTGAATGACGTGTAGATCTAACTAAGTTACTTCAGAGATGATGTCATTGCATTTATTTGTTGAAAGTTGGGACTGGCAAAAATTAGAGGGGACTGGTAATTTTTAGAGTTGCCAGTCCACCAGGACCGGCAGTTTCCAAACCCAACGGGGACACTGGAAATGGAGGTGTTTCACCATGTAAGGTAGACCTGAAGAGTCTGAGATGCTGCAGCGTGTGAAGGATGAGCGGCCATGATGTCTGTGTGTCTTGTGTTGCTAATGTTGGGAGTGGCTTGCTTGTTGCTTCAGATTTTCCTTGCTGAAACTGTGTGCTAAACTCTAAGCTTAAATCAAATCTGTCTAAATCAAAGGTATCAAATGTACTTTGAAAATCATGAAGAATGATTTCTTGGATAATATTATATCATAAGTAAGAACATGTTTCTTGCAAGTTTGCTGTTATACTCATTGCTGTTTGACCTGGACCTAAATGGGATATTTTGCTTTACAGATAGTGATGCTGTCACACCGATCAGGTCACAGCGAGCTGCTCACAAGACTTCATCAGCAGGGACGTTATCCACAATCATCACAGACCAGGAGGATGATGATGTGGACACTGAGAGTATGCCCATAGCCCCCCAGCCTCCCAGGTCTCCCAACCCTCGAGCCATGAACCAGAAAGATGCACCATCCTCATTCACAACAGAGAACTCATCACAGTTCAATCAGGTACTGACTCAACCACCTCTCACCACCAACACTATACACACTATCACCCAGCACACTCACACGATCAACCAACACATACACGATCACCCAGTACACACAAACGATCACACAGCACAGGCACACGATCACCCAGCACACACACACGATCACCCAGCACACTAACACGATCACCCAGCACACTAACACGATCACCCAACACATACACGATCACCCAACATACACACACGATCACCCAACATACACACACGATCACCCAGCACACGCACACGATCACCCAGCACACGCACACGATCACCCAACACACACACACGATCACCCAGCACATACACGATCACCCAGCCCACATACACGATCACCCAGCACACGCACACGCTTAACCAACACATACACGATCACCAAGCACATACACGATCACCCAGCACACGCACACAATCACCCAGCACACGCACACGATCACCCAACACACACACACGATCACCCAGCACATACACGATCACCCAGCCCACATACACAATCACCCAGCACATGCACACGATCAACCAACACATACACGATCACCCAGTACACACACACGATCAACCAACACATACATGATCAACCAACACATACACACGATCAACCAACATATACACTATCACCCAGCACACGCACACGATCACCCAGCACATGCACACGATCAAACAACACATACACGATCACCCAACATACACACGCAATCATCCAACACATACACGATCACCCAACACATACACGATCACCCAGCACATGCACACGATTAACCAACACATACACGATCACCCAACACATACACGATCACCCAGCACACGCACACGATCAAACAACACATACACGATCACCCAACATACACACACAATCACCCAGCACACGCACACAATCAACCAACACGCAGAGACCAACGGAGACCAGACCCTCACGATTTGCACACAGTTTATACAATGTCTGGCCTTGAAATATGACATAAAGAGTGCCAGATCTTACGATATCTCCCAATCAATCAACAACAAAAATCAAGTTATTGTGCGTGCAGATCTACATGGTAAATTACCTTTTTGTAGTAGTCCTACATGTTGGATTCAAAACATTAGCAGTTTTCTTACATTTCTACAAACTATGTCTGTAAGAGGAAGTAGCCATATTTGTTGCTATGGTTTCCAGCTTTGATAAATTAAGAAGTTGGAATTGTTAGCAGAACAGCATTATTCTTTCATACAGATTAGAAATGTTTGTTTGAGCTAGTTTGATTAATGTTATCTAGAACTGCACTAAATTAATCTCTTTTGAATTACTAATAGCAAATTAGGGCAACAAGAATCAATTTTCGGTAAAAAAAAGTACCAAAGAATTTTTTTTTCATTTTCATTGCATGGCCACAATTTAGTATGTCCCCAGTTACTTGATGTATGAGATGTAGCAAGCTAAAAATAAAGGTTCAGTTGCTGCTGACATTTTCAGTTTTTGCATTGCAAAGTGGATCCCTAAGTTGTAATTGCTTTTGGCCTTTTTTTTAAGCAAAAGTCTTATTTTTGAACAGAAGATTTATAGCCACACTGCTAGTTAGGTTCCTGATAGATTCATGGCATCAGTAACAGTTAATGTAGTGGTTCTTTTGCTGTAGTGGTTCTTTTGCTGACATACATGTTCTGATTTCTCAAATCATATGCATCTTGAATCTTCCCCCCAATTTTTAATCCTCCCCCACGTTGACCACATTTATCGACCGCCTCCGTTGTCTAGTGGTAGAGCGTCTGCCCGGAGAGCGGAAGGTCCGGGGTTCTACCCCCGGCCGCGTCATACCAAAAGAGGTTAAAAGATGGTACTTGTTGTTACCCTGTCTGGCGCTCGGCATTAATTGGCTAAAACAAGGACTGGTAGGCTCTGAGTTAGTATACTGTGTCTGAGTGGGGTATTCATGTAAAACTGCGGCATGGTATCTCAGTGAGCTAGCACTATAAATCGGCATCAGTCCGGACTAGTACAAGCAGCCACACACACACACACACACACACACACACACACACACACACACACACACACACACGTACATGCACGTCACTATATAAGTGCAATAATCTTGGACGCTAAGGTTAAACCCCATTTCACCTCACCTCACCCAAAGAACCTTTTTTGGTAGGCAGGTTTGACAGATACACACATGCACACACATACGCACACACATACGCACACACATATGCACACACTTGTGATTTTCATCCCTGTGGGTGTTCCTTCCAGATTAAGCTGTGTTGAACCCAACTCACCCCTGTTTACTGATGGTAATATCATTCCATTACACCATTCCCCCTATCTTCCTTCTAATCTACAAGGAGCACAGCCTTCCTGTGATGTGTTTTTCTTAACCTGTGCTTATCTCTGTGAGCAGGAAGGCAACAATGCTGATGGACCTGCCATGGGTGCTGTTGGTCCTCGTGTGTACACCCCCGACCCCGGTGAGGATCTGGATGACTTTGTTTTGCGCCCAGCGCCCCAGGGGGTAACCGTCAAGTGTCGTATCACCAGGGACAAGAAGGGTGTGGACCGTGGTATTTTCCCCACCTACTTCCTTCACATGGAGAAGGATGATGGCAAGAAGGTGAGAATAGCCATGTTATGCCTTCTGCTCATGTAGACTGTCAGAACTCAGGTCAAGAAAATGATCTGCATGATAGTATTCTTTCATACAATACTTTCTTCAGGCTGAAAAAAATAAAATAATTGGTTCTGGAGCAATGAATTTTTAAAATATAGTGCGGGCAGGCAGTGATTTTTTACATTATTTTTTTTACTTGTTCAAACTAATATGTAACCAAATAAACAGTTGTGTACCATCAACATGGGAAAGGGCATCTCCACATTAACAAGCATACAAACTCCTATTGCCGCCATGACCATAACACGAGATCCACGATAAAGCAGTGCGCATGTAAGGGAAGTAACTTTGTGCTATATTGGATCGCATTGTTTTAAAGAATTAGGATTTATTTTTTAAAAATTTAAATGGAATTAAAAACGAAACGTGCACCAGAGTTTCTGATGATGTGATGGTGCCTTTGCACCAAGACTATTATTTTTTTCAGCCTCAGATATAATAGTTTATTGATTCGAGACTAGAGTCTCACAGGTATACAGTTAATCAAAATCTCAAACTACGGTCTTGATATTAGATTGAATAGAGATATCAGTCAGTGAAAAGACCGGTAGCCTTTAGTCCACATTTGCCCTGAAGGTTTCGTTGAAGTTGTTGCTTTGTGTGTCTGCAGACATTCCTGTTAGCTGGAAGAAAACGGAAGAAGAGTGCGACCTCAAACTATCTGATCTCAACTGACCCCACCGACCTGTCCCGTACAGGAGAGTCCTTTATTGGCAAACTAAGGTACGTTTGACTCTGTGAGAATCACCATCATTGATCCTGTCAGTCAGTACACTTCATGTCATCGTATCCCAAATGTGTAGATCGATGCACATGATGTCAATGGTTGGATTGTCTGGTCCAGACTCAATTATTTACAGACCGCTGTCATATAGCTGGAATATTGCTGAGTGCGGTGCTAAACAAGAAACAAACAAAACAGTATACTTCATCTGAGTTTGAATAAGCAGTTGAGATGAAAATACGTTATACAGACTCTGATCAAGCAATCGTTTTTGTGGTCATGATTGGTATGGCAAATGGCTGGGCACAGGGTCCCTGGTCATGGAACTGTTTGTTTGTTTGTTGTTTAACGCCACACTCAGCAATATTCCAGCTATATGACGGTGGTCTGTAACATAATTGAGTCTGGACCAGACAATCCAGTGATTGACATCATGAGCATCGATCCACGCAATTGGGATCGATGACATGTATCAACCAAGTCAGCTAGCCTGACCACCCAATCCCGTTAGTCGCCTTTTACGACAAGCATAGTCGCCTTTTACAGCAAGTATGAGTTGGTTATGACCTATTCTACCCCGGAATCTTCACGGGTCGGTCATGGAACTGAGTCCCATATTACCCTGAGTATTGTTCATAATCTGCCAACACTCTGGTATACATCAACAAGCTGCATCCCCTGTGGTTAACATGCCTGTCAATGTTCACAGCAGCCTTATTATACTACACTGATTGGGGATCATCAGTAATTTTTGGCATTATAAATTGTAGCAGGATCACGAGGGGTACATGGGGCTTTATGCGTCCCGTGTTAGGTTTTATACCAGGAGCCGGAGGTAAGATAAATTTGTTGTAGTAGGATCACGAGGGGTACATGGGGCTTTATGCGTCCCGTGTTAGGTTTTATACCAGGAGCCGGAGGTAAGATAAATTTGTTGTAGTAGGATCACGAGGGGTACATGGGGATTTATGCATCCCGCGTTAGGTTTTATACCAGGAGCCGGAGGTAAGATAAATTTGTTGTAGTAGGATCACGAGGGGTACATGGGGCTTTATGCGTCCCGCGTTAGGTTTTATACCAGGAGCCGGAGGTAAGATAAATTTGTTGTAGTAGGATCACGAGGGGTACATAAGGCTTTATGCGTCCCGCGTTAGGTTAAGACATGTTTTAATCTGCTGAGGTGAACTTGTCACCTGTCTTTCATTGACTTGAAAAAAGCATGCAGCTTTTTGCTTTTAAGGAATTTTTTCGCCCACTGAGAAATCCATGTGCAGCCTGTTTTCTTTGTGGTGGGGTATAAGAGATTTATGCTCCCACTGAGAAATCCAAGTGCAGCCTGTTTTCTTTATGGTGGGGTATAAGAGATTTATGCTCCCACTGAGAAATCCATGTGCAGCCTGTTTTCTTTGTGGTGGGGTATAAGAGATTTATGCTCCCACTGAGAAATCCAAGTGCAGCCTGTTTTCTTTGTGGTGGGGTATAAGAGATTTATGCTCCCACTGAGAAATCCATGTGCAGCCTGTTTTCTTTGTGGTGGGTTATAAGAGATTTATGCTCCCACTGAGAAATCCAAGTGCAGCCTGTTTTCTTTGTGGTGGGGTATAAGAGATTTATGCTCCCACTGAGAAATCCATGTGCAGCCTGTTTTCTTTGTGGTGGGTTATAAGAGATTTATGCTCCCACTGAGAAATCCAAGTGCAGCCTGTTTTCTTCGTGGTGGGTTATAAGAGATTTATGCTCCCACTGAGAAATCCAAGTGCAGCCTATTTCTTCATGGTGGGGTATAAGGAATCTATTCTCCCTCTCAGAAATTTATTTCCCTTGCAGGCGGGATACCTCGTATTTTATCATTATCACGTGAACCAATCAGGTCTCGACATTCTGACATCGATATATGATAAATGTTTTTGTAGGGAATAGCCCCAATTCTAACCATGATCCCTAACTTACTTTGTTTAGTGTATTTAAGAGGCAGATAATCCAATTCACTCTCACTGACACTTAAATTTCCATTCCAGATCTAATCTGCTAGGGACACAGTTCACGCTGTTTGATAATGGTGACAACCCCAAGAAAGCTGGGGACGGCGCAAGACGGGAAATGGTTGCTGTTGTCTATGTGAGTAGTTTACTGCCTATCTATTGCTAACTCTCATGGCGGAAGATAATTTGTATTATGCCGTATGTTCCAAGTGGAATAAACTTGAGGGGACCCTGGTTAGGTCCCTTGTAACCTAGACCGCCTCCGTGGTCTAGTGGTAGAGTGTCCGCCCGGAGAGCTGTAGGTCGGGGATTTGATCCCCAGCCGCATCATACCAAACAGTAAAAGATGGTACTTGTTGTTACCCTGCCTGGTGCTCTGCATCATGAGGCTAAAACAAGGACTGGCCACCTCATAGTCAATGTACTGTGTTTGAGTGGGGTATTCATGTTAAACTGTAGCATGGTATCTCAGTGGACTAGCACTTTAAAATCGGCATTAGTCCGGACTAGTACAAGCAGCAGCACGCACCCATGCACGCACACACACAAACGTGCATGCACATCACGATATACCGTAAGTGCAATTTTCTTGAACGTGACATTCAAGCCCATTTCACCTCAGAACATGTGCAAGGTCTCTACTGGACATCTGCTGTAACACTGTCCTTGCTTTCAGGAAACAAATGTGCTGGGCTTCAAGGGTCCGCGCAAGATGACAGTCATCATCCCTGGCATGAATCTGGACCACGAGAGAGTGGACATCAAACCTAGAGGGGTTAGTGACACTGCGGAGGTAGCAGATCAAGGAGACATAACTCTGGGGCAGCAATTGAAACATTTCTGTATTTCATATTTGATATCTTTTTGTCATTATATTTTTTTATGAACAAAAGCTGTTCATCCCATTGAAGCGAAAGATAGACGATTTGGATGGAATCTTGTCATACAGCTCGCAACTCTAGTTCAGAATACCCTGTTACTGAATATATGTGTTTTATTACTGAATCGGTGTGTGTTGTTACTGAATGGATGTGTGTTGTTACTGAATAGGTGTGTGTTGTTACTGAATATATGTATTTTATTACTGAAGCAATGTGTGTTGCAGGATCACGATGGGCTGGTAGAGCGGTACAAGAGGAAACATATGGAGAACCTGCTGGAGCTTCACAACAAGACGCCGGTCTGGAACGATGGTCAGTACAACACTTCAACAACACACATCAGTGTGTCATCGAACCTGATCGGGCATCGTTGCCATCAACCATTTGTCTGCTGGGGCCAGACACAGTTTTCTACAGGCTGCTGTCATAAAGCTGGGATAATTCTCACTGGAGTTCAAACATTTACTCACTTAGTAGGAGTGTAATGATAAATAGTACTATCAAACCTTACAATAGTACTATATCGATAGGATTTATAAATGTCAATAGTATGCATAACAATTGATAGTTTCAATGGTTGCAATTTGTTATAAATAATACATATTTTAGGTGAATTTCAAACCTATCTGTGTTGTTGGTTCGCAAGGATTACGACAACTTCAGATTAGAGTTACCTCCCTTTGGTTTGAGGAAAATGGCCATCTTTGATATTGTCAACAATACTTTATTCATTTCTATTACATTGATTAAGAATATTATGAAGCCTTAACCTTGGTTTACTACCTTTGGAATACTATTGCCATAGTGTTGACTACTATTACAATACAATCACCATAGTTAAACTAGCCCCAATAATCAGCCCTACTCAATAGTGAATTTGGTAAAATAACTCCCTCCACCAGATACCTACTGTTTACGTGATTATTGATGTTCTCATGGTGTTTCAGAGACCCAGTCCTATGTGCTGAATTTCCACGGACGTGTCACCCAGGCTTCGGTGAAGAATTTCCAGATTGTGCATGATAATGATGGTAGGTTACCAAGGTTACCAAGGTCTACAGTGGCTCCATTTCTCCACAGTAGACGCGACCCGTGAAGATTCCGGGGTAGAATAGGTCTTCAGCAACCCATGCTTGCCGTAAAAGGCGACTATGCTTGTCGTAAAAGGCGACTAACGGGATCGGGTAGTCAGGCTCGCTGACTTGGTTGATACATGTCATCGATCCCAATTGCGTGGATTGATGCTCATGACATTAATCACTGGATTGTCTGGTCCAGACTCGATTATTTACAGTCCGCCGTCATATAGCTGGAATATTGCTGAGTGCGGCGTTAAACAACAAACCAACCAACCACAGTAGACGCACTCAGGCAGAGTCCTTGAAATTTGATTTGATTATCTATCAAGAGAATTTCATTGAAGAATAACCGTATTTTCATCTTAACTGCTTACAATGCTGCTTATTATAGAGTGGACAGCCTCCGTGGTCTAGTGGTAGAGTGTCTGCCCAGAGAGCGGAAGGTCCGCGTGATACCAAAAGACATTAAAAGATGGTACTTGTTGTTACCCTGTCTGACGCTTGGAATTAATGGGCTAAAACAAGGACTGGTTGGCTCGGAGTCAGTATACTGTGTCTGAGTGGGGTATTCATTTTAAACTGCTAGCACTATAAATCGGTATCAGTCCGGACTAGTACTAGCAGCCACACAAACACACGTGCATGCACGTCGCTATATAAGTGCAATAATCTTGGACACGACGTTAAATCCAATTTCACCTCACCTATTATAGTGTGGCTAATTTCACTTACTGTTTTGTCTGCCTTTACAATGTTCATGTGTTTAGTGAGCTATTCGTCCCCAGGGTTTGACCCCTTGACGCAGGACTTCTGCATGTTTGGAGAGACATTTATCCTAAATACTTGTAATCATATCATGTTTGACACAGCATATCTTTGTCAGTCTGTACTGCTCTCCACATTAAACTGAAACTTCTCTACACAATATGTGGGACTCAGATCTAGGGCGGGAAGCTTATCCATAGCAGATTCTCAGATCCGTGGCAGATTCTCAATGTTATATTATATCAAATTTACCATGATCTCTTATCCTTGATTGGACAATCTATTCAATTGTTATATGACGTCATGCTTGAGATAACGTCATCCACTCCTTGCCTGTGATGATGTCATTAAAGTTTAATGTCTATTACCAATAGACACAGTGATCAGTCAAAAAAAAAGGCAGAGGAAGAAACCAGTATCACAAGACCCAAATGCCAAATTAGTTTTTTTATTATTTAAAAAACACACAAAAAGTTTGTCGTGTAAAGGCTCTAAATCCGAAGTGGGGAAGCTTGAAAATATTTTAGCAGCTCCAGCAAGTGAGCAAAAAATATATCTACAAAGAAACTTAGGGGAACGTTTTAAGGAAATTACTGATATGAAATCCCAGCACCCACCATGCTGTTTTAAGGGGCGGTCGGGTAGCCTAGTTGTTTAAGGATTTGATCGTCACGCCGAAGACCCGGGTTCGATTCCCGACATGGGTACAATGTGTAAAGCCCATTTCTGGTGTCTCCCGCCGGGATATTGCTGGAATATTGCTAAAAGCAGCGTAAAACCAAACTCACTCACTCACTCATGCTGTTTTAAAGGGGCAATGGTAAACCTAAACAAGAGAAATCGCAACATTGATCACTGAAATTCAGCCGCTATATAGGAGTCTATTTGTTTAGTGTGGTAGAAACTGCCAGTAATTGATGTTATATGATAATGTGCCATAGATCTAAGTATACGTCAATATCTGCCCCATGTGTGGAATCTGACTAGATCTGAGAATCTGCCACAGATCAGAGTCCTACCATGACTCGGAGTCCTACATGCTGTGAGTCTTGATGACCCAAATTTTCAGAGGCTAGGTAAAATACCATAGTGTTGTCAGGATGGAACTATGTATGACAGTTTGGTTGGTATATGTCAAAGTGAGGCCACACTGTATCTAAGGCTTGGTGTGTCAACACTCACCATCCTCAGAGATGCCAACTGTTACGATTTTGGCATTAATAGTCACAATTCTGAGCCTAGAATTACGCTGTTCTGATTTTGGCATTAATAGTCACAATTCTGAGCCTAGAATTACACTGTTATGATTTTGGCATTAATAGTCACAATTCTGAGCCTAGAATTACGCTGTAGGAATTTCATCACTCGAATTACAAGTTGCATAAAATGTCGCAGAGAGCAAATTGTTAACACACTCATGACATGAAGCATTTTACAGCAAGACCATACTGACCAATGAGAGCCATGCTTTCAATTCACATAGTGTTAAAATATCCATTACTGAGTAGTACAAGGTCTCTGATTGGTTGTGGATTTCATCAGATAGGTAAATGTCTATGAACTGCATGCTGTCAGTCTTGACTCCAACATTTAGACAGACCATGATGTAACTGAAACACTGTTCAGAGTGGTGTAAAATAACAATTCCCTGCCAGTATTAATAAACTGTCTCTGTGGTGTAGTGGATAGAGTGTCTGCCCGGTGATTGCAGAATGTCGATGGTTCGGTCCTGGGCCTCGTCATATCGAAAATGTTAAAAGATTATACTTGTTGTTACCATCCCTGGCGCCCTGTATTAAGGGGATAAAACAAGGACTGGTCGACTCGTAGTCTGCATGTCTGAGTGGGGTATCCATGTTTAACTGCAGCATGGTATCCCAATGGGCTAGCACTATGAAATAGCGCAATATTCCAGCTATATGATGGCGGTCTGTAAATAATCGATTCTTCTCCAGACAGTCCAGTGACTGACATCATGAGCATCGATCCACGCAAATGGAATACGATGACATGCCTCAACCAAGTCACCGAGCCTGACCAATCCCATTAGTCGCCTTAATAACAAGCACGGGTTGCTGAAGAGCAATTCTAACCCGGATCTTCACAGGTATCATATCCTAGTTAATAAACTCCATTCTTGTTACAGTTGACTACATCGTGATGCAGTTTGGCCGTGTGGCGGAGGACGTGTTTACCATGGACTTCAACTATCCCATGTGTGCTCTCCAAGCCTTCGGCATTGCTCTCAGTAGCTTCGACGGCAAGCTGGCGTGCGAGTGACCCTCATCTGTGTACATTATAGGATGGCTGATGGACAAGTGGGAATCCGAGTGATGTAGTACTGTCTGCTGCATAGCAACACTGCATGGCAACGGGGTGCAATCATTAGGAAAATCTATATCTCTATATATATGTATATACGTGTACGTAGACAGAGCATGGCACGGACCCGTGCGAGCCCGACTTGCCGTGCAGGGCTTAGCTACGAGAAGGGTTATTCACAAAGTATCTAGCTTCGTTGTCTTTCAAGATCTAGGTCACAATAAGTTCAAGTGCTAATAGGAAACTTGAAGGATGTTCGGACTTACCACAGCAGGCAGGTGGTAGTGTGTAGTTAGGGCTGCTCTGTGCACTCGGACATTGACTTCTACAAGTGTGTGTTCTTCAGACAGGGACTGGATGGGTGGGCCTTTCGGCATCGGAATCTGGAGGCGTCATCAACGGCTTCACCATCATCCCCATGGGTAGACTTCATCAGGACCTGGCGTCTCCTCGTCTGTACACATAGACATGCTTGGCCAAACACCATAAAGTCTATTTTATAAACTTACAATTTTGAGTTACTCTCTAGGTACTCGGTAAACGTAGCACCTACTCAAGTGTGCATCATGTTTTGCAAACTGCTTAGAGTTTATTAGAACTTCTATATTCCGATGCTATAGCTGTGTGTGATGTGATTGGCTGGGGATCCAGCCAATGGTTGTGAATGTTTGTTTTGTTTGTGAAGTGGTTGTCCTAGTTACGTGATGACTTAGAGGAAATGAATCAAAATATGACGAAGTTGAATGACAACAAGCCCACCTCTTCCCTTCCTTTGTTTGTGGATTCTTTCTGCATGTCTGATGTTTTATTTATTTGATATTTTGTTGTGCTGTTAGCGACTCAGTGACTCCGCCCATTTCACAGCAATGGCGGCATGGCGTACCCACACTAGCCGTCGTCCTACTGCCCCCCCATATTCATGTCCACATTCCAGCAATGCTGTGATCCATCACTCGACACCCACCATGCGTGGGACGTAGAAACTAAATAAACCAATCTAGATTTCAGCTTCGTATCATCCATCTTTTACAAATACATGTTCAAGACATTTCTTTCAATAGATCTGGAGATTATTTTGGAATTAGACAACTCATTTTTTTTATGAATATATTGACATGAGTAGATATCACGATCATCAAAAGCCCAAAAGCCCATTTTTTTTAGCAAGTAATCAATCAAATGTCAGTATTCAGTGTGACGCACGTCATTTCGCTGATGTCAACCAGACATTCGATGATTCTCTTGACTCATGTGATTTGTTGTCGCTGCATATGTACTGTGTTTGCACAGTGTTGAAGAAACTGCTACGGTGGGTGACAGTGAATGATGACTCGCGCCATCCTATGCTGTGTGATTTGTGTTCACTTACCTTGACCCTGGGTGCAGTGAAGGGACTGGTCATTTATTATAGGAGTAGGGGAACGGTGAGATAAGAGGTCATGAAAAAATGACCTAGCTAAACAGATGGGGCCACCAACAGTTTTCACAACTGTCTGTATAGAGGCATAAATAAATGACAAAATTCTATTTTTTCAAATAAAATAGTTATAAATTTGAAAAATTTGAACAGTATGTAGGGACTGGTCATTCATTATAGGGGGAAAGGTCATGAAAAAATGTTAAATTGTATGGGGTTTCATGAAAAAATGGGGGTAGCAAAATATGATACAGTCCTAAGACCAATCGCTTCCCCCGACCCCTAAAACACCCCCACCCCCACCCCCACCCCCACCCCCACCCCCACCCCCACCCCTGCAATAAATAATAAATGGCTGGTTCCTTAACTACTAACCAGAAATATTTTTGATTGGAACTAACATATTTTGAGTTGATGATAGTTGAGGGGTGTAGATCTGAAACTTACTGCTTACTGCATATGTTTTACACGTTACTTAATTTGTTAAACATGTCGTTGTGACAGACATGTTTTCAGACATGTCAGCTCTGCCCCAAGAGGTCGTGTTGTGGTAGCCGCTTAAAGAATTTTGTGTTCATGCGAAAAGGAAGAGTTTGTGCTGCTTTTTAGTACTGGATTTAGAGGCTGATGTCCATGCCCCTTTAGGTCAAATCCTTTTTAACTTCACAGCGGTTGTCTCCCCTGTTCATGGTTCTGATACAGATGGCGTTGTAGGGGTCATCACTTTGTATATGCATTTGACAGCTGCCTTACTATCAGAGTGTGAACTACATCTCGATACTGACATATTGTGTATTGACATAATATTTTGTGATGGTCATAATAATCACAATAGATACAACTTGTTCTTACTTTAACTGTGCGTATCGGTCAGAAGAGTGTGTGTGTTGTCTGGTTTGTGTGTAACCTGGGGTGTGATACACTTCGGTGTATATTGGCATCCGCTGTATTTGTTTATTGTGAGATGATGTTTGACAATACCATATTCAACGTAATAAGCGCCCAGGGCTCTCTCAAAATTAGAAATAGGGGGCCCTTATTAGAATAATATTTTGGTGAAAAAAAACAGTTGAAAGATAAATTTCGTGGTTTATGCTGACAGCCTGAAATGTTTATATACGACATATATATTTTTCCAGAATTTAATTGCCCATAATTAAGGATGCATATAACACACGAGTGCGTATTATACGCGAGTTAATAAGTCTTGTGTACATTGATCAATTGGAAGGGGTGCTGATTGGGATTGTTCACTAGCCAATATATAAAGAAATATCGCTGTGGGCGCTTATTAGAGCGGGGCGCTTATTACGTCGAATACAGTATATCATATTGACCTGTCTTTGTGTACACTTACACCATGCTGTTTGTGTAATAGCTTGAATGTATACTTCTCAAAAGAAGATAAGAACAACTGATTTTTTCATATTATGGTTAGTTTCATGACAGATTAACTATAGTCATATGAAAGAATCTGTATTCTTACCTTTAGCAGTATATTTACATCGTTTGGGGGATACACTGACCTCAGTATGTGATAACTAGTGTATTTGCATTCTTGGTGTATATTTCCACCTGGTGTATTTGTACACATCTTATGGATATCAACACATTGCATATCTGTACACATGGTGTATATATATTGTACACATAGTATATCTGTACATATATCCTGGGATATATGTCCCCAATATGGCCTACCAGTGACCTAGTCCGACGTGATGACCTCTGTCCAGTGATAGGTCACCTCAATCACCCTGGCGTTACTGGCATGTGTGCCACAGAATCGTTCTACCAATTCTGGAATACATGGCACCAGAATTTCACCCAATCTTATCAATATAACTGATGGAAACTGATGTATTTGAAGTTGAGGTTCATGTGAAATTCCTTAAAAACATAATCAAATTTTACTGATTGAAAAGAGAGACAATTTTGAATTGACCATATGATAATGTTGTATTTTTATGATTTTACAATTAATCTGTGGAGAGAGTGGCTTTTACCTGACTACAGTAGGGCTGAATAATGTTCCTTGAAAACATGTATGATTGATGACAGGTAAATTTTTGAGTCACGGTGTGCAGAACGTTGGAGTGACCAGGGTTCTGAAAGCATCTTCATCTGAATGATTTTGTGGCAGCAGACTGAGTGACAACGCCTGCTGCTGATACTATTGGGGTGGGTGGGGGAATACCATTTTATGGGATGGTCAGGGGGATGTATGTATGACACAAATGTGTGAGCAGGGATGTTGACAAAAGGAAAAGCATAAGGGCACTGCTTGATCCAACAATTAGTTTCACTGTTTTCTTATTGGTATGTATTTTTGTGATAGTCATTTAAGTCACTTCTGGAAGAAAAATGAATTCAACCCCCCTGACTTAGATAGGCGACAAATACCTTAGACTTACACAAGGCGACTATGCTTGTCGTAAAAGGCAACTAACGTGATCAGGTGGTCAGGCTTGCTGACTTGGTTGATGCATGTCATCCTATCCAAATTGCGTGGATAGATGCTCATGATGTCAATCACTGGATTGTCTGGTCCAGACTCAATTATTTACAGACCGCCATCATATAGCTGGAATATTGCTGAGGGAATAAAATAAAAGTTATGATCTCATACGTTCAAATTTTGAACCAACTATCCAGAACTGTAAGGTAACCCTGACTGGCTCCCACCATCCCTCCATTTTCTTCTCCATCTCTTCATTCCAAACAGGGGCGTCGGGTAGCCAAGTGGTTAAAGCGTTCGCTCGTCTCGTCGAAGACCCAGGTTCGATTCCCGACATGGGTATAATGTGTTAAGCCCATTTCTGGTGTCCCCCACCGTGATATTGCTAAAAGCGGCGTGAAACCATTCTCATTCAAAACTGTCTTTAATTGATCCGTCATCCTTGGAACTTAACGTCCCGGGTACCCAGTAGTCAGTATCTTCAGATTCCTCTGTTGATCCGACCTCTAATCTTGTACATCTAACAGATACTGTTGTTTCTGCCAAAATAATGACCCCCACTAATTCGTTGATCCACTTGTAATATAGCTTTAACAAATCAGAATTTATGTCCATCCTATTTGTGTGTTTTGCTGTAATTTTAAGCTGTTGTTATTTTTGAAGATTTGAATCAACTGCAAAATGGTAGCAGTTGTTGATAATGAAATATTTGTTTTCTGTCCATGATGTGAAATAGGTAATGCATGAGCATGACCTCATTCAAACCTCCCTACATGAGGTAAACAAGTTTGTTTGTGTTAATGACTGATCGAGATAGAAAACCAGACATGTTTCCATCCTGCTGGCAAACTTTACTTAAGAAAAACCTGCATATTCACAGTTCACAGGTGTAGCCTCACTGCAGAAAAGCAGTCTTTTTCATCAACATGAAAGTCTGGGTTAGAATTGGTTTTCAGCAACCCTTGCTTGTCGTAAGACGCGACTTACAGGATTGGGTGGTCAGGCTCGCTGACTGGTTGATGCATGTCATCATGTCACTGGATTGTCTGGTCCGGACTCATTATTTGCAGGCTGCCATCATAAAGCTGGAATATTGCCGAGTGTGGCATGTCGTTAAGCAAAACACAAACAAAATCATCAAGATAGGGAGATTTGGAGAAATAACCATGAGATGCAATGAGACGTGTCCCGAGTGAATGAAGCATGTGACCAGTCTTTGGTTAGTACTTACATTGTTCATTCACGACACAATCTGTGTTATGAAATTTATGATATGTTCTTGTGTTTTGCACATTGTCATTTTAAGAAAGAATATGAAAAAAACCCATTTCAAACGTAAAACAAGGTAACCTTTGTGAAACTCATCTTCTCCTGGTGACTAAACATTATCAGTTTCTGACATATCATCATATTGGTCTCATCAGTGCAGTAAAGGGGCACCAAGATGCCCCATCAACTTTGAGAATTGAAAAATGCACATGTGCAAAGATCTGAAAGTTATTACATTCAATTTTTCAACCATCCTGGTAATTTGCACTGAATAATGATGTTCTTCACTGAAGTGTCTTGCATTTTTGCATTCATGAATAGCCTGGCCTGCATATATTTGCAAACTGAGGGATTACTGCAGTGAAGCTTTTCTTACGTTTGTTTACCAGTACCGGTATCTTTATGTACAAGGCTGTATCAGCCCTATGTACGCAAGAACCATCGTCTACATATCAGAGTAAGTTGTCCACCATGGGCAGTCCAACACATTGCTGTGCATCGTGTAGAGAATGGGATATTTATGACAAAAAGCTGTTAAAAGTGCTGTATCATCAGTTTTGTTTGTGTATTCACTGTTGCCGATACGCTCTCATCATCCAAAGGTCCTCCTACATATCAAGTTTAGCAATCTGCTCAAAGTTTAAGGAGTTCAAATGTATATTATGGTAACATATGTAAAACATCGCCATCTGTATTGAGGGCTGTAAAGCCATATTTTTACAGAAACAATAAAGGTTTTAAAAGGAAATGATGTGGTTCCATTGCACCTGAACAACACAAGGGACTTCGGTATTAAGTACATGAGAAATTGTTTTTGCATTATTTTTTATCTGGAATTGTAAAAAAAAATAACATTTAAAAAATTCCAAGGCAGTTGACCCAGATTTTGAAAGATTTGTATAAGGAACCATAGCATCCTCTTAAGTCCTGTTGATTATGGAGACTGATGAATAATGGTAGTTGTTTTTTTAAGATGGAACAATAAAAGGTTATGTGGACCTTATAAGCAAACTCTATTCTTTAAATGGCGACATTTACTATTTACTCTATATTGAGTAGGAACTGTGTATGGTGACAATATGATGGTTGAATAATGTGTTTTGAAGTGAGACACATAGCTGTTAATATAATAGACATCTGTGTGAGAACTGAACCCACATCCAGATATCCACCCCCGAGTGATATTGGGTGAGTCGGTATGCTCTACATACAGACAGACTGACATCTGGACCCACTGGTACAGACAGACAGTCAGTCAGTCACACAGACTTGTATACAGGTCACACTTAGACAAGATTCACTTTGGTTTCTTGTCACTCTCCCAATCGGGTTCAACAAATACCGTCCTTTGTCATTTTATTTATTTTTATCTTTTACCAGAAGTATTTTGGGTGTAGCTTTCTTTCATTCACACGTGTGATCACCGGACATTCTCTCTATTTTGATAACAGTGTATATATGTACCACCGACTCTGTTATCTGCTCTCTTGAATGAAATAAAGGTATACAAGTAAATCCATTCTTTCTGTCTTTACTTCCCCTCAAACATGGAAGAGGCTTGTGATGTCTCCACACTCACACA